TGAGAGGCCCACAAAGCCATCTGGCTCAATTCCCACTGCCCTCATGATGTCCACCAGCCCAACCTACATCAGAAACACATACTGGTACATCAAAATACATTTTGCTCCATGACACATAGTTAATACCAACAAAAGCCTACATTCTTCCTGTTTTTCTTTACACAAAATGTAATGCATTTCTGGGAAAACACATCCCTAGAAGTCATACAGGGTTCTGTAGGAAAATTTTAAAGTTTCAGCCATGTTCTATCAGAAACCTAAGAGGGAGGATAAATTACTCACATAGGAATACGCACCTGAAAAGCTGCAATGCCCACAAAGCAATTTAGGATGTTACTGAAGATTTTTGAATCATCTGATGTGATGATATGAATCACATCTACACCAAGATGCTTAAGAGCTTCCTGACATTTTCCAATGGCAGCTGCGAAAACCGGCAGTGTGAGGAGGGATTTCCCCATACCCGGCCACTGTGAGCCTATACCAGTGAACAAGAACCAGACAGGCGGCTTGCTTCCAGGGTAAAACTGAAAATGAACTAGTATGTGATATTATGTCTCCAAAGTGCTACTGCATATTAAAAATGTCTACATTCTGATTACAGTAGTACACAGTTCAAATATTAAGGTTCACATGAAAGAACTGTATGCCAGCAAATCAGCTTGCCACAACACATGGTAACACACAAAGGAGATGAACTCATAAATCATAACACCACCATGAGGCTGGGAGGGACATACAGCATGTCAAAACATAATGGAGAAGGCAAGTCTCTGCCCTACCATGGGTCACAGCCAGATAATTTACAGGCTGAGTTTAATAAGCAGGTTAATGGTCTGATACTGTTTGTATTTATATGTTGGATCATGAAATGGATTATATTGTACTGGAGAGATGCCAGGTGAATCATGTCTGGTAGCCTTGAACTGGTTTGTATTTTAGTAATAATTGTGAGACACTCCTTCATGAGAGTGAGAATTATCACTACTGAAGGTGGAAGTTACACACTGTGTATGTTAACATATGGAATTTAACGTGAGATTCAAGTTTCATGCCTGTGACTATGAAGAATTCTGTCATGCATTTATGTGTGGTACTATAGATGGAGTATGAATTGGAAAATTAAATTTATTGACCACTTGTACACACCACGGGGAACTACAAGTAATTACAGCACTATTGCTGATCTGCACACTTTAGGAGACACTAAGTCTCTTCTACCCTGTGATATCTCCAACAGCTATTCCCTAGTAATTCTAGCAGTGGAGATTCTTCAGTTCCTGCGCTCACATTGTTACTTTTCTGCAAATATTCCACAACTGAACCCACTCAGCTGGCCTAAGGTCCTCACTATATAGCCTCAGGGCAGAGCCAACACTTTTCCTCTTCTTGTTATGGACGGCTGCCTAGTGATGGCCCGGTTACTGCTGATGTGTTTACCGGCTGCTACAAAGCAATGCGTGTTCTATCTCATGAACATTGCCTAACAATGGTACTACACCCTACAATACTATCTTCTTGGATGTACTAACATGTAGTCCAGCAGATATCTTTCTGAAATTTCAGGGGAACATGCTGCCACCATCTTCAGGATATAACAGTAAATGTGGAAAAAATGGCATGTACAAGGGAGGGTTGGAGCATGGGCCCTAAGCATCAGAGTAAGGGGAACAGTGAAAGTATTGTGGCCCCTTTAATGGCCACTTCTTAGAGTATGCATATAGGTTTCTTGTCATCCTCTGCCTTATTCTTGCTATTCTTCTAGTATTTTTTTTTTCAGTTTTATGTGGGATAATGGACATAATGTCTCCCTTCTCTTTATTCAGTCCACAATACTTTCCTTTCAATTTCCTGCCAGCTCTTCCCTTTCTCCTTGATGTCATCTAATAAAGGCTCAAACATCTTGTTCAGGGTCATCCCATAGGTACCCTGGTCTGAGTGTTAATTCTAATGTCCATCCATGGATCCTTGTTCTAACAATTCCTTTTACATAACCAAACAATTGTAGTAATTTCTCTTTTAACTGTATCAAAAATCATCAAGAATCCTTGTTCTATCAATTCCTTTTACATGACCAAACAATTGTAGTAATTTCTCTTCTACCTGTATCAAAAGTTACTAAGTTTCACTGCTGCTGTTGATTCAGCTATTCCGTCTTTACACTGGGAGAATGTGAGCAGTGTTGCCAACATTTTGGAGGTATCTGCTTCCTCCAGTTCAGTGTCAAAGTCATAAGCATGTACATATGAAAAATCGGCAAAACTGACTACAGCCACACAGCATAAAAACAAAAGAACTACATTAACAAAATTATATTTCCAAATTGTTCTTCAACATTTCAATTTTAATTCTATCCCACTTTTTGCCCCCTCACTAATTATTTAAATAATTAAGTACCTAATATATCATTACTGGTATAAGGCTTGCTCCCCAGGATTTTGATAAACAGGATTATATTCGAAACAAGAATTCTTGATAAAGCTTCTTGTGTTCTTTCTGAATTACTTATTGTGAATAGGACAAATGGCATTGTCAATGGGCTTGCTATAAATAACCCAAAAGAATACAATTATATGATACCATGGTATACATACAATACACCCCAATATATTTTACAATATTTCATTGCTCTTGGTTTTGTTTAATACGCAGACACAGAATCCCTAGGCCAAGGCCCAAAGACAGAAAATAAATGTCAAAACAATACTCTTTACAATCACAGCAACAGAGATAACATGTGGTGTAGGAGTAGGCAATAAAACAGCCAGACTGTGGTGGAACCAGCAGAGTTGAGTGCAACTGAATGAAATTTAAGAAAATACTCGTATAAGCCAAATACAGTGGAACCTCGCTTAACAAGCATAATTCATTCCAGAATCTTACTTGTAATGTGAAACACTCGTTAAGCGAAACAATTTTTCCCATATAAATTAATGTAAAATATGATAATGCGTTCCATGCCGAAAAAAATACTCAAAAAATTTTATGTATAACGTTTCTTCAAAGAAAATTATGTAATGCCGTAGAATTTCGGCAAGGATTTTGTAACTTTTATGTATTAAGTTATCTTGGGTTCACAGTTAGAGAAGTTACACGAAGGGTTAATGTTTGAAACAGAATGCAGGAAGTAGCAATGTAAGTGTAAAATTGTCACATTGCATTGTACTGCTGATTCACGCGGAACAAACAGCAGTACAGCAAAGGCGTACAGAGTGCCAACTCAGCGAGACGGCCTGAGCAGATCCAACCCTCTCTATCCAGATGACCAACCAGTAACGGACCTTTGGGGGAGAATTCGCGATGTGGGAACTGCCCACATTCAAGCAAGTGTGACAACGCAAGCGTCATTGCTTAGCAACCGTTGTTTACTCGTTGTTGCTAAGCAATGAAGTTTTCCGACTCTTATTTGTGTGGCTTATCTCTTTATGGAGGACACTATACTCATTTTATAATTACATTCTTCAGATGCAAA